GCAAGTTGATGCCACGATAATTCTTGCAACACCCTTTTGCTCTTGTGCAGTGGTAACACAAGGGCATCCTTCAGCTTTGGAGGCACCTCCTCCTCAATTCATACGTGTTGCACCAGTTGGTTCAGCGCAGTCACCAACGCAGGTCCGCCGTGTTTCAATACTTCAGGCGGGATCCCGTCGGCCCCAGCACACTTGCCGTTTCGCAGCTGAGCAAGTGCTCTATGCGTCTCATCCAGTGTCGGCGTGTCCGCCAGACTCGTCTTCACATCGTGCTGCTTGAGGCAGTTCCAAGTAGGCCATTCGATCTCTGAACAGTTGTTCAAGAGACAGTCAAAGTGATTTCGCCAGATCTGTATTATGTCTGCAGTCTGTGCGCAGGTAGCGCCTGAACTACCATCGATAAGCGTCCTCAGCGGCTCCAATCTCCGTCCATACACCGTCTTCAAGGAGTCAAAGAATTCCTTGTGTTGGCGGCGTTCGGCGTAGCATTCCATCTGCTTCGCCTTCCCCGTCCGCCATGCATTTTTTATGCGACGGAGCTCTGGGGTCAGTTGTCGTCGAATTCTGCGAAACTGACTCTTCTTCCCCAAGTCACTGGGGTCTCTCACATGTTCAACAAATGCTGCATTCTTCTCCGACACCAATGCGCCAACCATCGCATTGTTCTCATCAAACCAATCATGTCGCTCATAGTTTGCGCGCCCGATGGTCTCCTCGGCAACAGCCGTCACCTGGTCGCGAATGTGGTGCCACAGGTCACCCACTGTGGCTATGCGGTCCACATCACACAGGCGTGCAGCCATCGCCTTCTCCAGCTCAGTACGTTTCGCCACAGTACCGAGGGAGAGAATGTTAAATTTACGCTGCTTCACGGCGGGAGTGCAATACATAGATTTACGAAAACAAATGTGCAATTTGGTCCGCACCAATTTGTGGTCAGTGCCACACTCAGCTCCACGCAGTACATGTGTCATGCGCACTTCACGCATGTCACAGTGACGTACGATGACATAGTGGAGCAGTTGAGCATGACCACTCCTTGGGTGCATCCAAGTTGCTATATCACTCGAACTCAGTGCAAACCGAGTGTTCATGATCGTCAGGCCCTGAGTGGCACACAGTGAGAGCAGTCTGTCCCCGTTCGCATTCGCTGAACCAATGCCATGCGAACCGATAGCATCTGTCCACACCGATGCATCCCGCCCAACGCGCGCGTTGAAATCACCCAGCAGAAATAGTCGGTCGCTCCTCGGCACAGACCGTATCACGGGGGATTGCTGAATGTAGAATTGATCACGCGTGTCATCAGGATAACATATGGTCGGACCGTACGTGCTTATAAAAGTGGCGAACTTACTTCTTCTGAATCATAGACGAACAGTCATCAATCGCGCGCTGATGCCTGTTGGTTCACCCACGAGCTGGCCATGGAGGCGATCGGATATTGCAAATCCGACCCCGTGATCACGTGGTGCTGAGGCGGCGTTGCCCACCCAGTAGAACGTGTAGCCATCACCTGCTTCATGCAACTTACCTTGCTCAGCTAGCCGGATTTCACTGAGCGCCGCAATATCGATGTTGTAGCGCGTCAGTTCCATCGCGACGAGTGCGGTGCGTCGCTCCGGGCGCTCACTGGAGTTTCGGTCCCTTAGTGTACGCACGTTCCAGCACCCGATGCTGAGTGCTTTGCGCGCAGGCATACGATTGAATTGGTGGGCAATCGCACGCGAGGTGGTCGTTGTGCTTCGGAGGTTTCCTTGAGGGACTCCACCCGGAGCCTTTGGCTCAATAACCTGACCCACATGGCAGTGGGTGAATTGGAGTTTTGCTTGAGGGACTCCGCCCGGAGCCTTTGGCTCAATTGCCTGATGCACAAAACAGTGGGGAGCGGAACCAGCTGGGGAATGTGATTGCAGAGCCAGAACGGGATCTGTTTGACGGCCGTCACACGCAGCCTTGGAGGTACTGGAACGATTTATATATGTTTTGCGACCGTAGTAGGATATGCACCTGCGACCACGGCCAGACGCAGGTGGGTTTTTGGCGGGTTTGCACCAATTTGATCAGGGGCTGCCTGGCTTGAGGCGGGCAGTAGCAAACCAATGAACACCCGGAGGTGCCCTCCCACCGTCAGAGACAATGCGTGGCACTCGTGCTCTACGCCAATCGAGCTGTGAGCTTATAACCCGTAGACCTGTTGTCTCCCATGGCTAGGTTTTACGGGAAGAGGGCCATCGACCACTTCCTAACCTCCGGAGAGGATGGACTAGGATATTGTCAGGGCGCCCACACCTAACAGGAGAACGAGTCGGGTCCTCAGCCAAAGCCTTCGATTAAATGTACACCCGAAAGGCAGCGGGTCTAGCACATGGTCAGTTCACTGACTCTTGCGGATTGGTGTCCTGGATCTTAGTAGGGAGGGCGAAAACCAACTCCCACCCAGCGGTCGCCACGAGGAGACGCCCAGGACATAAGTCAATGGCACAACAGTAGCAGCAGTGGGTAGACCATCTGTCAGGATCTAGCCACCACCAGCCTCAGCGCACCATAGACTCCCCCGCCAGATATGTATATATATATATATATATATATATATATATATATATATATATATATATATATATATATATATGCTGTGGCTGATGTTGCATTCGTGATGCTTCACCGCGGTTGGGCTAAACCAACTTACACTTAAACTAGGTCTTTTTAATGTGGATAAAATTCCTAACATTTTATTTGGTTTGTTCTGCGTTCTTGATATTTTTTCCCCAACTTGCACACGTTGCTCTTGCAAATTGTGGTAAACTTGCGTAATTGTATCGCTTGGTATTTTTTAAATAACTCGGACATTTTGTACTTATCACGGATTCACTTATAACCAATTTCTTCTATATGCTCATTTAACGAGAATTTATGTCGTCATATGCGTTTACTTTATTCGATATTGGCGTCTTGAGTGATTGGCTGTTGTTTGACATCCCAGGTGTGGCTGCACTTGATGTGCATGTTGACAAGGTGCCTACTTGTCTATTACCCACTACCTCGTCCATCTGGCTCCAGGAGACAGTTGGTCGTTGCTGGAGGGGACGGGGTGCACGGTCCTTGTGGCCGTGATAGGTTCGATGAGTGGTTCCATGCACTCAGTGTGGAGCGCACTACGGTCCAGCCACCGCCTTGTGTGCATTTGATTCCCAAATACAGCGTGCTTGTGTTTGCCTGTGAAGGAGTGTGGGCCGGCTCCGTTGATGAAACGTGGCTCCCATCCACATGCCTCCCGGTCTTATTCCTTTGGGTTTGCACTGGATATGGGATGTGTGGATGGAGTTGTGGGTGGTGCAGCGCAAGCCATCCATGGTCCATCTGTAGGCGAAGGCGTCCTGTGGCTGGCCACAGTGACAGGCAAATCCGAAACCGGATGCCACCAACCGTTTATATATATATATATATATATATATATATATATATATATATATATATATATATATATATGAACTTTTACACGTTAATGTAGGTGATATTGTCGTATAAGTTTTCAGGTAAACCCATTATCGATATTAAAAACCATCGAAATTATTCACTCCCCTGCCATGGCTTTTCGTCTAAAACAGCTGTTGTTGAATGTGATCAACCCTTGATTGTGTGACACCAAACCCATTGTTTTCGTGCACTTTGAAACTCTTGCTGTTATCACGATTCAAGGCATCTTATGACCCTTACGTATGTGATTCCTAATCAAGCGTGAATAGCTGTCAGTGGGTTCTCATGTCTTTCATTCCTCCATTCCAACCCATTCCTGTATGACAGCTTCCCACCACCAATCTGCACCCATACGTCGTGAACACTTATCGCCCGTTTTGACCCTTCTAACTTGTAAACATTCACTCGCTACTTTAGCTGTTTGACTTGCCCATGCTGCGATATTAGTGTTCAATCGGCTCTGTACTTCGACTCGGCGGACAACGGCCTGACTCAAAAGACAACGATAGACGCGGGAGCCGATAAAAGGCGTCATCTAGTCGCAGCGACTAATAATTAGTCGTTGATGGCTAACCGTAGTGAATAGGTAGTTAGTTACATGTTTTGATACAGATGACTTTGTTATTAAGCTTGTTTTGCGACTGATTGGAGACCCAATCCTGGTACTAATATTTCTCCCCGTAAAATGTCATTTTACCGCTTTAGGGGTAATTACCCCCAGGTTAAGAAGCCCTGGTCTAGAGAAATGAATTCCGTCACTAAAATCTGCGCCGGTCGGTATTTCCCGACTGGAGGTCTGGGGACCGAAGAACGATGAACACGTCTGGTTGGATACGCTAGTTGACGTGACAAGAAGCCAACCCCAATGGCGCTTGTGTTGTGTTTCTTTGTCCCCCCGCCCCGCTTACCTTCCCCTTCCAATCATTATCTCACTTTTGGAGCATAATGCTACTAGGCATCATGTTACCTGTCTTTTGGTTTTTTGTATTCTATACAGTTTTGTATCTCACCTCTTTTCATATATACTATCGTTTTGTATTGCGGCACCATAACTCAGGTGTTTCTCCTCTTTGATTACTGTGTAATGACGATGATAATGATGAGATTATGATATTCTTGAGCTGGTTGTCATTTTTTGCTATATAGACTGCGGAAAGCTTGAGCATCATTTTTCCCGTGTAGTTCTGTTACTCGTCTCGAGCCACTTCATGAGTTACTTCCATTTCGGTGTAGATGGTCATGTGTGCAGTCTGCCACTAGCCTCACCAGTATGCTCTGAAACTCCGTCAGTGTCTAGTTTCGTTTATCTTCTTATTGAACCTCTTCGTCAAACCCATGGCACCACTAATCGTGTGAACGACTTCCTTTTCCCCCGTGACAACTTGCATTGTCCCATTGGTGTAATTTTACTCAGCGAGTTGATTGTATTTATTACTGGTGCAGAATTTGTGCCGAATTCCGCATGTATCTTACTCCTCATCCACACATTTTACTTTCATCTTCAACTTTGCGGCTTTTTATAGAAATTCTTCATGCGCCATACAGCTGCACGGTTCCGTCAGTCTGAATCCGGTGGAGGCAATCCCCTGGATGCAATTTGCCCCATGGGTGGACAATGTCGTGTTGAGGGTCCCGGGCGTGGAAAGTGTCCGCATTGTCGCTATCGTAAATGCCTTGATCTGGGAATGACTTTGACGCGTAGGTTAAACCGTATTTTCTCTTTGTTGTCCTAATTGACGCTTTATACTTTTTTCCTGTGATTATGGCGATGCAATCGGCGTTCTTTTCAATACCGAGTATTTATCTATCACCGTGTAGGAGATTCACCGTGTGTGTATGTCTCGCTGAGCGCCGCCGTCCATGGGATAATAAAGCTGCTTATAGCATCCAGTCGTTTTTTCCAAGATCCAGCGAACTTGGTTTGATCCTGTTAACGGGTATTCGAAGTGCTGCTGTTGATACTATTTGCTTATTAGCCTACTCTCTATTGATTCCTTTGGCTTAATCTTAACACGAGTGCAACACTTGCAGAATCTTCTGACAATGACCACACTTTTCCCGTCTCCGGCAGTATTAAATCAGTGATGTCGGTATCGCCTTCGGCACACATACTGAATGCAGTCAACTCGATTATATATATATTATATATTATACACAATCTGTGGTACAGATATTGTGCCATCGGAATCATGGCTGAATAGGAAAACAATATGAATAATAAGAAAAGAGCAACAAGAAATGCTTTTTTTGTCAAGTTTACCACTCACAGTTTTTGAAATTTTTTTCAGTTTGTTCGTTTTTAGGGGGAGGAGGAAGGGACACCGCAACACACTGATGCACACGTCCGCCATTGACATCGATCTTGAGCCATAACTTCCAAGGTTTTCAACCAGCAAGTATCCTCGTCTCTCGGACCCCAACCAGGTAGTCGACAACAACCGGCCGAGGCCAATTGTTTCGTCAACTTTTTCATGCGGCTTCTCCATATTGTAGGCTGTCCACCAGACCGTCTCTTCCAGCCCTGTCCAGCAAGTGCAAACAACGCACGACGGGGGTAACGCTGGACAGGCATGCGCAATACGTGTCCCAACCACCGCAGTTGATGCAGTGAGATGAGCTCCTCGAGCGAGTGGCTTCCACGTCCCAAGACACGCTGTCTAACTTCCACATTGCTTACGTGGTGCTGCCACCACACACGGGCAATGGACCGCAGACAGCGGTGCTCGAAGACGGATAGCCTGCGCAAGTCATCTTTACGAATGGGCCAGGTCTCGCATCCGTACAACAGTACAGCACGAACAGTTGCACAATAGACCCGCCCTTTGATGGAGAGACGAATGTCGTGGCGACGCCACAAATGCCTCAGCCTAGAAAAAGCGAGGCGTGCTTTTGAGATGCGCATCGAAATCTCGTCTCCAACAGCCCCGCCAGCAGTGATGCAACTTCCCAAGTAGACAAAGCTCTCCACAACCTCCAGTGTCTCACCAGCAAGTGTGAGTGCAGGCAGAGGCACCTGCCAGTCTTGAAGGAGAGCCTTGCATTTGGATGGCGAAAAGCACATACCATACTTTGATGCTTCAATCGTCAACTCGATTGGATACTAGTAAGCATGCATATGTGTGCAGTTCGACTTCGAACCTACATTTGGGTTAGCAGTCACTGTCTGCAGATCAGACCCTTTTTATCGCTTCGGTTTGCCTTGCACTGTCTGCAACTGAGAGGATGTCGAAGATGATTTTTCTCGTCAGCTGTGGTCTTATTCGTATGGCGGAACACTATCATGAGTGTTGCTGGTTACATGAATGCCCAAACGATTGTTGTCGGACTCTGAACAATACCCGTGCCAGGGGTGCGGTTAGAAGAGGAGGAGGGGAGGACAAGCGATGTCTTAGTCGAGAGAAATGAAAATGATCACTTCGAAACTGGTTCCAGTCGTCGCATCCCGACTACTTGGCTGGGGTCCTAAGGACGATGAACACGTTTGGTTGGATACACTTATTGACATGGCTAGGAGCCGACCCCAATGGTGTTTGTGTTTTGTTTCTTTGTCCCTCTCCTCCCCTTTAGATTCTCCCTCCAACTCCGATATCATGCGAGATGCATACTATAATATTTAACATTGTATTACTTGCTTCGGGTTTTTTGTAGTGTCCTACCTTTTTGTATTGCGACACATTAGCTGAGGTGTCTTTCTCACCCTCAGCTAGCATGTATGTATGATTATGATGATGACTGAACAGCACCTGAGAGTCCGTTTCGTAATCCATACATACTGCCTCAAATAAGCACCTAACTTTCAGCATTCTCACGTGTAACTTAAACTCGCAGTTTGCAACAACGTCGAGACGAACTGGCCCACCAATTGTCAGTGATGAATGAGGGTAGGGAGCCGAATGCTGACTAGAATTGTCTCAACTGGGCCATGAGGAATCCTTTGGCTGCCTGTTGTTGGCTCTACTTGCAGCGTCCGAACTGTGAATCGATCTAGGGCATCGTTCAGTTTGCTAGAAGCAAGCAAACAGCTTCCTTTGGGTACTGATTTTCCACTTGTCCGTTAACGCCCTGAAACCACGTCTGACAAGGTGTCTTCGAATTGATCGGGGACATTGATGAGTGGCAAGAGATTGAGAGATGCAGAAAGCCAGTACTATTAGGAACAGCCGAATACTCTACTATCTCATTCAGAGCACGGGTTCAAAAAAACCCTCTGTTTGGGAGACAACAGCTGCGAACGTTGAATATTTGATCCATTCCCAACCGCATTGAGTGGCACGTTGGGTGGAACATTTTAGGCCGTGCTTAGACACTGCCGCTCGCTGAGTCACCCGAGCTGAAGTGAAAGGTAGATGTCACACCTCCCACTTTGAACGAGATTCGACATTAGCTTTCCGTGTTGAAACGAAACGAGGCTCTTTGGCCAGACGATTTTTTTCCAAATTTGTTGTGATATAGTGGTGACTCTTTGTTGACTGGACTTGTTGCTGTCTTCAATACCATTTGTCTTACTGAAGAGCTTCCTTCAGACTGACGACTGTCAACTATACTGCTAATCTTCAAGTAGAGTCAACGGACTTTGCGAAAATCGTCGACGCATTAGCTTTATTTCCGTTGCCCCCAAACTTATCACAGGTATCATTCTTCGACAGCTTATTGGTATCCAGACTGGTCTCCGTCCTAGTCGTAGTTGTATCGACCACATATTTACTCTTCAAGTATTGGATCACAGGAACACTTAGAGACGACTGCCTATGGTGGTTTTCCTTGACCTAACAGGTACTTACAACTCTGTTAATCATACCAGCTTGCGGTACTGCCTATCCGTGAAAACCATCCCAGGAAAAGTCATTTCCAGTCTGAAGTTTCTCTACTACGACTCCCGGTGCGCGGAGTAAGGGTCTACGAGAAACTTCTGAGTTCAACACGGCAGGTAGGGTCTACCATGGCTGTTGTATATCTCTTTCTTAAACACTGTGACCGAAATGATCATCAATGTCTCTGTCCTCTGCTGAAGCGGAAGTTCTGCCAAGTGACCGGCGGACGATATGGCTCTCCTCGGGTCTGACACATCGGCTATGCAAGCACTACTGTATGGACTGACGCATAGCTCTGCACGCTTCGGCATGTGCTTCACACCTCCAAGTTGCAAAGTATTGTTGGGGGACTGGGCCGATACACCACTGGCTCTTGCCATCACCGAACAGCCACTGGTAGTGGTGCATTGGTTCACTTACCTTTGTAGCTGTCACTTCTGGTGGTCATATCACTGACATATCAGCAATGCTCGTGTGGTTTTCCAGTGACACAATCATCTATGGAGATGGCGGGATATCCGTCTCTAAGTGAAAGGTAGGGTGTATAACACTGCGATAACGCCGTTGTTAATTTATGGTTCAGAGGCCTGGCCAATTCGCATTGAAGACATTAAACGATTGGACGTATTTGACCACTGTTGCTTGCGGAGTATTGCTCGCATCTGGTGGGAACACCCGGTGACTTTTGGCAACAGCGTCTTCTAGTGCCTCGCTCAAACTTTTGCTGAATATTAACCGTTTACATTGGTTTGGTCATGTCTTCCATATGCCCTTCTTTCGGCTTCCTCGGCGTGCATTATGCGCCCTAGCCTCACACATTTGGGCGAAACCGCGAGATGGCCACTCCGTACCGAGGCATAGAGGCGTAAAGAAACTAACTGATGCGTTCCGTCTTCGTGGATGGGGGCCTGGGATTGGTACATAATAATGGTTGAAGACCGTATCAGACATGGCACAGTCACGCAGCCAGTGGCGTCCCTGAACATTATTTCCTGCATTTTAAGGTTGATATTCCATCCCCATTACTTTACTCCCTCTTGGCTTAACCCCACTATTAAATTGTTTGCGTTCAACCTTATTTTATTGCCCTTATTATTTCTTGTTATTCTGGCGGCGCGACCCGTGGGTGCGGAGTCCACCGCACTTCGATGCCCGAATTATATTTGTTTATCTGGACTACAAGGATTTAACCTGACAATTGGAAAGTATATTTTCCGTCGCGGATATACTGTCCCTATTCACGAATCCCAACTCCAACTGAGTCACCTTTTTACCATGGCTGAATTTGTATTGACCGACCCTGCTAAAAGACGTATATTGATTCTCCCGAGCCTATTATGGCTTTATGTGCTCAATCTCTAGTTGATTGTCGCAACACTGCACTTATGTTTCACTGTTGGATTCGCTTTCTGTTCATTGCCTTGTGGATCCAGCGTTTTATTTGGACTGGACGTGGTTCCGCTACCGTACAGCCATGAGTACCTAAGGAATGCGAAATAAGATAATGGAGAATAGAACTGTTGGGCTAAACGGACCCTAACGAATTTATTGGAGCCGCCTTCATCTACCTCGCTTTTTGGGGTCAATTGGCTTACTTATCTTGTGCACTAACTAACCAACGACACTTCACCACGGTGGCAGTTTTCCAGGTTATCAGTGGAGACGCGATATGATCCATTATTTTTGTACCCTGACCTCTTTTGTTTTATCGAAAGTCATTGTTCCTGTTGAGGCTGATTTAACTTTTTTCTAGTTATTTGACTTGAATAGTTGTTGAATGATTTGGCAAATTTTAATGCTCCAGAATGGGAACTTTATGCAAGGCCAAAGTACTTTAAGCCAACATTCAGAGTCATGAAGCCTGTAACGACGAAGTACGCTAACTCG